CTCTGCATCTTGTAAACAGGAGCTTTCCATGAACAACCCCTATTTGGGCACAGGTGCCAGGCAGCTGACTCTGCTCCTTTCTGTACCAGTGAACAGCCACCATCTGCTGGGCACCAGCGTTACGCAGAGTGATAAATAACTCACACATGCCACTTCCTCTAACTAGACCAAGAGCACCTGGACACATGCACATCTCACATCACATCAGGAAAACCAGTACCTGGAGCTTTTACGCTCACCAGACACAACCTCCCCACCTGAGGTCCATAAAATGAGGGCCCCAAGACCAAACACACTGACTCCCATCAGGGTGTCCTGCAGTTGGCCAGGGCCATCTGAAGGCAGTTGGGAAGATCTGTAGCCGGGCAAGCATCAGGGACAATGCTGTTGTAGGCCAGCAGTGACCCTTGCCCTTTGTGGGGAATCCGGCGGGACCCAGGCTCCTGTCTGGGGGCGACTAGCATGCCAGGTGTGCGGCTGAGTGGGCTCACAGCTGGCCCAGCGTTGAGGCATCACCCACAGGCAGAAGTGGACACTTGGGGAAAGACAGAGGGACTGCAGGACCCTGAGGCACCCTGAGGACGGGGTGGACCAAGGGGAAGGGCAGGAGCCGGGGCCAGCATCCTGGTTCTTTCAGCGCTGGGGTTAACAGGGTCAAGGGGGCCTGGACCAGGGGAGGCCCCAGGGGGAGGCCAAGGAGGTCCACAGCCTCTGCCGGCAGGAAATAAGAAAGGAACATGGAGGAGGCAGGGCAAGCGGCTTGTGAGCAGGGGCAGCACAGGCCTGCGCCTCTGCCTCCCAGGCCCTCGAAAGGCAAAGGAACCTGGCGGCTCTCCTCAGCGACTTCAGATGCAAGATGTCCCCAGCGTGTGGCCAGATGGCAGTGTTCACGGGCAGGCAGGCCGTCGCAGGTCTGAGGAGCAGGGAGCAGCCAGCGTGGGGGAGAGGCCCTCGCCTCAGGCAGGATCGACTCCAGGGGCTCCTCTGGCGTCTGGAAACGCCACAGCTGGCTCTGAAGTCGCCGCCTCCACTCCAGCGCTGAACAGCTTCAGATGTGACAGGTCCTTTCATGGGCTTCCTAACTCCAACCCATGTGCAGCAGGGGCCGCGGGTGGGTCCCCTCCAGGGCGCATGCACATGGTCCCAGCCTCTGGGCCTGAAGAGGAACACTGAGCCCTCAGGGACAGGGCCACAGACGGGGGCACAGGGGCTTCCCGCCTCCTTCCTGGACGGCACCAGGTGCAGGGGTCAGAGGGGCCATCTGACCCCACAGTTGCTGGTTACATCCTCATGAGCCAGAGCTCCGCTGGGGCTCAGCTTCCCATGTCAGGCAGAGAGCACAATGTCCCCACCTCCGTCTTCACCCCACCACGTTCCATCACGTGCAGGCTTCCATAGAGAAGATGGGGGTCCCCCACACTGGCCCCTGGTCTGCGGGCAACACACACTCACCCCAGAACACGTGGGCCTGGGGTGTAGAGGTGACCCAGGGCCCGCAAGTCCTTCAGGCTGGCCCCTGTGCACAGTGAGCTGCTGGGTGAGCGAGGGCTG